CTTACTATTGCCTTTTTGTTAGTAGATTTCTGTATATCTTACACCTTTTCTTGTTTCTCATTTCCTTCCTTCCTTTGTGTTCAATTTAATTTTTATAATGACACATTTTGATTCCATTCTCATTTACTTTTCTGTGTATTCTGTAGGTATTTTACTTGTAGTTAACATAGAAATTACACAAACATCCTAATGTTATAACAACCTATATTAAGCTGATGCCAAATTAATTTCAGCTGCATACAAAAATTTATTCCTTTATAACACTGTTCACCTTCCATCACTTTATATTACTGATGCCACAAGTTACATTTATTGTGGACTTATAAATGTGGATTTATACCTTTATGCTTTTGTCTTTTAAATAGCATAAAATAAGTGAAAGTAGAGTTATAAACCAAAATTACAGTAGTGCAGGTATTTATATTTGATTATGTATTTACCCTTGATGCAGAACTTTATATTTCATACAAGAACTGGGGTACAGGCCAGCGGTGTGGGAAGGGGTGTGTGTGAGAGGATTCTCTAGAGACAGGTAATACTGATTTCATTGAATTAGTTGTGTAGTTGTGTTGAAATCTCTTATTTTCTTTGCTATTTTTTAAAAAATATGGGTAGATTTTTATTTTTTTTTTAAAGATTTATTTATTTACACAAGCACTGGGTAACAGTCAGAAGTGCGGGAGGGTGAGAGAATTCACCAGAGCCAGAGCGGGGAACAGAACAGGCAGACTGACGAAATACACTGCTGAGGGGAAGCAGCGGGCGGCAGGAGAGGTCTGCGCGCCATGTGGGACCCTCGCTGGTGGCTGGGGATTGAACCGGCGCTGCAGAGGCTGCGGGCAGCTTCGCAGCCCAGCGCTCAACCACTGCGCCACCAGGGGAAGCCCTGGGTAGATTTTTAGAGGGAAAACTTTCGGTCCTACACTTTTCTTTGTGGGAAGTATTGTCAAGAGTTTAATCAAATTTCTATTTGAGTCAGTTTCTTTAGTTTATGTATTTCTATAAATTTGTCCATGTCCTCTAGGTAATGTAATTTGTTGGCATACAATCGCTTATAGTATTACTACATAATCCTTTATACTTCTGTAAAGTTAGTACTGATGCCCCCTCTTTCAATCCTGATTTTTGTAATCTCAATGTTCTTCTTTTCTTTTTAGTCACCCGAGCTAAAAGTTGGCCAATTTTTGTTGATCTTTTTGATGCAGAGACAAGTCTCTCTTCCTGCCTCACCAGATAAGCATCCCTTACAAGTATGTTTAACAGGTTTGTCCTCTTGCCTGCATCAAAAAGAAATGACAAGCCTTCCTATCTCCCCTTTGCAGAGCCTTGCCCATCTCCCCTTTTTATTACTCCTCTGTAGAAATACTCCTGCACTCTGCCAAAGAGCAGGATGGTGGTTTTTCAGACACTAGTCTGCTGCCCTCTTCAGTCAGTCTGCCTGCTCTATCCCAGGCTCTGTCTCTGGTGAATCCTCTCACCAGCATCACCACCTCTGGCCTGTACCCCAGCTCTTGTATGCATAAATAAATAAATCTTTTTTTTTTTTTTTTAAAGAAGAATTAGGGAAAGAAGGTATATAGTCCCTGAGGCATGACTCCACCTTGGCTTCCTTGCCCCTCCCTGGCCTGGTTCCACCGGCCTGGGAGTCCCTCTTGATTTCTGTTCCTTTTTTCCTTAATAAACTTTTTCTTTCTCTAAACAAATTTGCCTCTGTTCACCTGCTAGTCTGTGTGGCAGCGAAGTTCCTGCTGCAGCTTCGTGGGACACCAACCCGTGGTGGTCTAGTGGCTGGGACTCAGCGCTGCCCCTGCAGCCAGGAATGCAGTCCTGGCTAGAAGACGAGGCCTGAAAATCTGCAATTACAGTATCACTGTCAGCACTGTTGAACATTGGAAAAATATAGATCTCTTAAAAATCTAATTGTAACTCTGGGTAATTAAGTGTTGTTTTATAAAAATCTGTATATTTTTATTAAGCCTGTGACAAAACTTCCTTGATATCAAATTTCAGAAATAGTAAAGTTTTTGAACAGTGAAAAGATATGATCTGTCATAGAAGGACTCTTAATGAATTATTTTCCTTGTAGAAAACTGTTGGGCCAATCTAGTGATATTACAACTGTTATAGAGCAACCCCGATATTAAACGGGTCCTGGCTGTGGGTCCTCACCCGCGAGCTTTAA